TTTCCGATACTGGTATCGGAATCGAAAAAAAATCACTATATATATGTTCACTATATTTAGAATATTTTCACCGCTTTACCTTGCTGTCATACATGGACTATGGATTAGTACCCCATACAACCCTGCTTCAAAAAAACCTAAACTTTTGCTTAGAGTATGACCTTAAATGGACCAGGTTTGTTGACAAGTCTGCCAGCTCGACCTGGAGCTAATGAGTAATATTAATAAAGATTCTATTCCCTTGTTGATTCCTGATCCAGTTTTTGTGTGGAAAAGAGGTATGCCTACACAGTTTTTCCGAATTGACACAACTGTTTTATTATCTCTGACTCCTTCTTAACTGCAACTGGATGATTCCCATCTCTAAAAATTCAGCATCAAAACAAACCACTTCCTTATCACGGCATCAGGATCAGTTTTATTGCCATGTATGCATACATATACAGTAATAACATTTGTAGACAGTAAGACGATGGTGCGATGGTGCAGAGGACATATGCAAACACATGGAAGTGTAGGTTTCTTTAAGTCCAAAGTATTGGTATTATTCATCATGGTATTGTGCGCAGATTCATTCTTTATCTCGGGAACATGAACCTGTGATAAAATATTCTAAACTCAAGGTTACTAGCTTATTATGGAGTTTTTCAGCTGCATGGCCTTATTATTGAAGGAGGCTTTTCACAACCACGGTGCTGTATATCAAGGCTGGGCTGTCATGAATGTCAGTATGTGTTGTCATACCAAGGGTTACTCTTTCAAGCAGATGTCACGCAAAAGACATGCAGCAACATTACAGATAAGATTATTACCTAGTAAAAATTAACAGAAGATGATGATGATGCCTTTGTGTTAAGTATTTTAATCATGTATTTGTTTTTGTTTTGTTTTGAGATATTTTAGCGATTTGTGTGTTTAATCCTCACAGTTAGAAGTGTTGTAAACAAAAAATCTTTCCTAAAATTAGATATTACAAAAAGAAATCCAGATATATCACCTTGCTAACATTATCGCAATATATGGGATTATATTGAATCGTAACCCCTGTTTCGTGATACATATCCTATCACCAAATTCTTGCCAATACACAGCCCTAGTTTTAATGACTCATAAACTCATAAAAGTGAACATTTCTGTTTGGGTATAATACATTAGTAATCTTTCCAACTCTGCTAGTGTTACTTTCTGCCGTGCTGTGATGAAACTCTATGAGAAAAGTGAGTTATCACCTTGACTCGTGAACTCCTCTTCAGACCTTCAAACCTAGACCTGTGCTGCTTTAATGAGCTCAGGATGAATTCCTGACAAATTTAGCATGGTGACAAGTTCCTGTGCTGCATTTCTACCATTAGACTTTTTTTTATTTTGTTCATTCTTCAAAAGATGTCAATACAGGCTGTGTCTGATTCTCTCTTCCTTTCTTCTCTTTGCAGCTTTCAAGAAAGAGGACAGCGGCTTTGATGAGGTAGGATGAAAACAAGTGAATTTTAGGGAGCTGGTGACATTTCTGGCCCAGTTTCAGGTCTACACCACAGTTTGATATGCTGTAGTTTTCACTAAAATTATTCTTCAAGGTCTTTTTGGCCAGATGTTGTCAGGGCTGCATTGCAGTTGATTTTTTTTATCCTGCTCTAACTGGGTGCATATGGTGTGTAATATATTCATGTGTAGAGCATGGTGGTTTTCCCTCTCATCTCTGAGACGTCCCTCAGGGTCAGTCGCCATCACAGAGCTTCTCTGGCCTGCCAAATGAGACACCACCAAATGCACCAATCTGATTCTGACTGTATGAGTACACCCAGGGCTTCAGCCTTGTTTCACATTCATCCCACAACATTGTGCACACCGTCCTGAAGTAAAACTAACTGAATAAATTCTCTCTCATTTGAAATGCATTTTTAAAAATGGTCAAACAAAAGCTCATTTGAGAGGCAGAGGACAGTTAGAAATGTCCACAGTTTGATAGTTGAGGTTGGTCCACATTTATGGCCTCCTCTCATTCTCTTTGAGCAGTAATCTGGAGAATGGAGTCCCCGTGTTTCTCCTGCACTGCACAGTGCAGTATAGTGCAGGCACGTGCCTAAAATTCCTAAAACTACCCCCACCCCCCGCTCCTGTCTCAAAAAAATTCAAATTAAATGGATTAAATGTGGTGAGTAAAGGTGCCAGGTAGACAGCATATTAAGAGCAGTTTAGTGTTTTAACACTGCATTTATGTGTTACAACTGGGGAACTGCAGGCAGTGTATCTACAGTATAATTTTGGGAGGTTGATTTACTATGGATATTGCAGGGCTTTCTTTTTTGGTTGTTAATGAGTATGGTAGCTCATTTGCTTATTTTCTATATAGTTGCACTGATGATTTGTGTTTGAAAAATATAGCTAAAATAATGAATGCAATGATATTGGTATCTAATTGTTTGCTGCTAAGTGCTCCTCTATGTTCACCAATTAGTCTCTAATGTTGTCGGTCTGTTTGGTGTTGAGCAGGTAGGGTAGGTTTATCAGAGCTTTTTGACTGAAAACAGCTGCCAGAAGTAGTTGGAAATGGGACTGCAACTAAAAATTATTTCCATTATCGATTCATTTCACAGTTAATCGATTCATTAAATGGTATGGCAAACCGGGTGAAATGTGTATTGTCTTTGAGTTAATATTACTGTATTGACCAACCCTAGATGCTTCACTGTTGTACAAAAGTGGCCATGTATTTCTTGCAAGCTATATTACATGCTGCCACAAACTCATCCCAAAACAGTTTTTAATTCAACCTGTAGATTGTTTTTATAGTCCCAGGAATACTGCAATGGTATTATTTTGCAGCCCTGTACAGTATAACGTATTGATTCCTCTCCCATTCTCGCTCAGTTTGCTGTTGTAGGCGGCTGCTTCATGAGGCGGTCAATAGGTCCGAGGATACCTGGGATGTTGTGTTTGTATCGACAGGGGAAATCCTGCTTGGTTGCTCCTTTGAGTTAAAGTAACAGTGAGTGTTCAGCAGTGTTCAACCTGCACCTATAGTGCACTGCAGTGGGCTAGCTAAAGCTACGTCCTTGTAGTGAAGCAACCACATGGTCTTTAAGCTTTTGGAACCTTTCCAGCATATTGTCTGCAAGAGGCGGTGGCATTGCTTAATGAATAAGTGATAAGACACCAGGATGCTTTGTGTTGATGTGGCAGACATGTTGCTGCTATGGTTGGTTGGCAGATTCTTTTATTTATTTATTATTATTGATTCAGTTGAGTGTCATAATATTTAGTTTTATTTTATTGTATGTTTTTTATTGTATGTTTTATATATATATATATATATATATATTGTATGTTTTATATATATTGTAAAATACCTTTCTAAAAGAGTTCTGTCACAAACTGAATATTATAATCTTCCTGAAGGGAGGATTTATAGTAGGACTGTTGTTGTAATAGTGCTTTATTCATTTTAGTTAGGAGTACCTATTAAACTGGAAATAGAGTGTGCCTGGCATTGCCACAGTGTAATAAATCAACCCAGTCAGTTTATTGGTCAGGAGGTAGATATTTTAATAGACAAAAAGGGGTTTAAGCATCTTTGTATTGCCTCAATTAAGCTATTAAAAAATTGTACCAAAGTTCTGTATTGTATTGGAGTTGATGTAAAAAAAAACAAAAAAATGTCCCTTTGATAAAAGATAGAGGCACATTTCACAAATGAATCAAAATGTCAGTAAAACATGGTGCAGATGTTAACAGACTTTTTGAAAGGTTTAGAGAAATGTTAGGTGTTTTGTGCCAGTCATTACATGGTATAGATTATGGAAAAAATAAACCAAAAAGTGGATATGTTAATTAATTAAGACCACCGTGTGACTAAAATGAGTGGCTGTCATTTCCCGAGTGGTGAAGGAAACCACTTTCTAATTTCCCTAGCTTTGGGATTTACTGTCTCTGAGCTCCAAATGCTTTTATCTGAGAAAAGAAAATATGCAATGTTGCTGGTAATGACATCCTTTAAATACAGTGAGGACTTTCAGCATTAAGCCTCTAAGAATATACAGTATCATTATGAATTCATCTTCTTGAGTTTTCTGTAACACCCATCTCATCTCGTCTCATCTCGGTCCAGCATGACTTTTACTTTATTTAATAATAATTACATTTCTTTAAATTTGGCCGAAACAGACACGTGGTGAGCTAATTAGATTTTGGTCAAAGTTAAAAGTCAATGTGACCTCACAAAACACGTTTTTGGACATAAGAATTGATGACCATATTTCCTGATTTACCAGATTTTACACATGTTGACTGGGACAACATGATGAGTAAACAATAACTAGTACAGTACGGGCTTTCATCTTTCCATCTCATCTGTTCTGCCTTTCACTTCCTGCCTCATTCTGAATTTCACGTGACTGCAAACAACACACTGGAGCATGCCCAGCTGATGGTGAGTGAGTGAGTGAGTGAGTGAGTGAGTGAGTGTGTGAGTTTCACCTACAGCTCATAGAGAAGCTTCACATCCAGAAATAACAGATCAATGATAACCTTTCATTAATCAGTTCAAACATGTATATTCACTGGAATCATATGTATTATCAATGTAGTGATTCCATTTAGCCAAAAAATACTCTTCATACCTTTTTATTCAATTCCTTCGCCACAAGTCTTTACTACATATATAATATGAGTCTGGACAGACATGGATGTAAACTGCTACTTCAATGGTTGGCGGAGGTAAACAACCGCTGAGCAGTAAGTCTAGTTTTGCTCCATCTGATTTCATGTGTCATTGGTCTGTCTCCATCTGATTCCAGAACTTATTTCATATTCATTCTAACTAGGATAGGAACAGTTTGCTGTCATACTGCAGCCTCAGCTGCTGTGTGGTGCTGTGGCGTAGATGGGGCAATGAGGAATGCTAAGCTGTAAGATTTTCCCATTGAGAGAACTTTGTCTTTATTTCTGTTGGCAAAGGGACAGGAGAGCTCAGAAATCACAGACGTCACATATATTTGGCAACATGGCTGTTTATCAAGATTCCTGCGATTATTTGTTTAAGAAGATATAGTGTTCTTGTTCAGGAAGGGACTTTTGTGGTGAAACTACGTGAAGCAGGCCATTTCTAGTAGCCAGTTCCATGGGAATTAGCTCAGGCCATTTGCTATAAATGGGCCTTGCTGCTAAAGAAGAATGTAAAGAATCTTAGAAGAAGAGAGACTCCTTCCTGTCCCACAACATGATGTTTGTATGAAAGTGAATGATGGCCTGCAGTATGTGAACATATGGCAGTTTGGCTTAAAACAGCAGTGTGACTGTATATGTGCGTGCATTCATACCTTCTGTGTGTTTGATAGAGGCAGACAGACACTAAGAGCTTGTTTGCCACTGGTTGTCTGTTGAACTGATTATCATTTGTCATAGTGAATAGGAAACTATGTGTCTGTTTAAAGCATAGGGACGGCTGGTCAGACCCAGAGGCCTGAGCCTACGTTCAGATGGCGGGGGAGGCATGGTTTCTTGTTGTTTTTACTTTTGGATGTTTGATGTCGTAAAAAATTCTGTCACGTTTGGCGTCCCGATCACCAGGACAACAGTGTTCGACAGGAGCTTTCAAATTGCATATTAGCCATTACCAAAATAATCCTTATGAGAGTTTTCTGATCTGTCACCACAAGGCAGCAGTTCTCAAATTGGGAGGCGGGCCCCCCTGGAGGGATGTAGAGCCATTTCTAATGGCGGGTGGGGGAGACCAACGACTAGGGTGAAAAATGTGGAGAGCATGTAAAGAATGTGATTCATGAAGCAATAGCCAAAGCTTGAATGCTTGCAAAGCTAGACTCACAAGCTCTCTCTAAATGCTCAAGATTCAAGTTTGTAAGGTGTTTTTGGAGATAAGGACATGTAGACGTACAAGAAAGAAAGGAAGAACATGTGACTGTTGGTAAGATACAGGAAACCGCACCAAAACCGCATTTCTGGTACTACAATTAGATGCTATGGACACCCCTCCATCCACCTTAACCTTCCTAAGCAGTCTCGTAGCACGAACTGCCTGTGCTTATCAGAGACACCAGTCACACAGCCACAAGAGGTCACTTGTCAGAAAAATGTGAACAAAAGACATTTCAGTGTTGAAGGAGTTTTATTCCAGGACAAAGTGCTCTTCTACCTCAAAATATCTGACCAAGGAAGGAAATCTCTGCTCCCACATGAGTTGTTACAAACGGATGAAGGATTTGAGAACACCCCAAGCTCTTGCCCTTCTCTCTCTCTCTCTCTCCCTCCTCTTCTCTTCTCTCTCTTCTCTCTCTCTCTCTCTCTCTCTCTCTCTCTCTTCTCTCTCTCTCTCTCTGCCTCTAATGGAAACAGATCCTGAGACCTGACTGGCTTAATCTGAATCTGTGGTAAAAGTGCTGCACTCAACAGAAAGAGCCTGTGGTAGGCTTTGATTATCGAGCATGGTCTCTCTGCATATCTGCTTTGTGT